ACTAAAAGAATTTATAGTTTTTCTTCTCTAGCACCTTAAATCCCAGGGAAATTATCATCTAGCAAAGACTGTGAGTAATGGTTGGAGAGTGGTTCTGTCTGGAGGCAAGAGGATGGACAAGACGCCTTTTTAAATTGTGTTCCAAGCCCAGAAGTCTATTTAAAAAAAAATAGAATATTCAGAAATTTGTCAAAATTTCATTATGGCATTTTTAAAAAAGATTTTATTTATTTATTTGACAGAGAGAGACACAGCAAGAGAGGGAACACAAGCAGGGGGAGTGGCAGAGGAAGAAGCAGGCTTCCCGCGGAGCAGGGAGCCCGATGTGGGACTCGATCCCAGGACCCTGGGATCATGACCTGAGCTGAAGGCAGAGGCTTAACGACTGAGCCACCCAGGCGCCCCAGATTTTCTTTTATTTTTAAGTAATCTCCACACCCAACATGGGACCTGAACTCACAACCCCGAGATCAAGTCACATGCTCTACAGAGTGAGCCAACCAGGCACCCTTAAAATAGTCTTTTAAATGTATAACTAAGCTTGATAGAAAGAGAAAAATCTCTTAAGGATTAAAAATAAGAAAGCTGAAAAACCTGAATGGTAATTGTGAGAGCGGATCCTGGATATTCCCTACAGTGTTTTTGGGAGTAGTTGTTGATCTTGTTAGCCAAAGGTTTTGTTTTGGTTTGGTTTAAGGTTAAACACTAATCAGAATCTTTATTTTTCAATGTTATAATTACTTGAATACAAACTTTTTTTTCTTCAAGATTTTATTTTTAAATAATCACTACACCCAGTGTGGGGCTTGAACCCACAACCTTGAGATCAAGAGTCACATGCTCCACTGACTGAGCCAGCCAGGTGCCCCATGAATACAATCTTTAGATTGGTTTCTTTATTCCTTCCAATCTGATATATTTAACTGGAAGTAGGTAATTTGTATTCCGTTCCATTTCTCCAGTCAATACATCTCCTCACTTTTTTTTTAGGGATTGGGTTTTAATGATCATATAGAAATAGGAATCAAAATTTGGCCCAAATAAAAAGGAAGAATCTGTCCATTGGTAAAGGGAGAGGACAAAGAAGTTTGTCTTCGTCATGGTTCTGGAAAGGAATTCCAACATATCAAAACACATTCTCCTGTAAGATATTTTTGCCTCACTTTATGCCACTTTGGGGTTCAAATTTATATCATATGTATAGTGTAGGGATTCTTTAGCTTAGAAATTAATATTAAAAGTGATCCCAGGCTTTATTGCCTGGCAGAAGCAAACATATAAAACCTCCTGGAAAGGAGACAACCTCAGCTAGGCCACACAGAATTCCCATAGATAAAGACTTGCTCGAGATGAGCTCATAAATCAAAATTACAGAGGTGTAAAGAAACCATCCAAATGAACAAATGTCAGCAGACACATCAAATAGTAGATTTGGATGCCCCAGAACTTAAGATACTACATTATTAGATCCAGAGAACAAAATATACTTATGTGATTAAAGATACAAAGGAAAAATTTTTTAAGATGAGGAAAAATAAATACTATTTTAAAAAAGAAGAAGCAAATTTGAAAAAGAACACAGGAGAATTTTTAGATATTAAAAGCATACCCCATTTCATCAATTCTAATGATGTTCACATTTTACTATCTCTGAAATCAGGATATTGCCCACAATAACTGCTGGGTAGGCAGCCTTTTTGATGTAGTTGTCATTCCCTGTTCATATGCATAAAAGTTTGTAGAATGGATGACAGTGACTTTGAACGAATCCTGGAGACAATATGGAGCACTCTTGTGAAAAGCTACATTACTAATGCTCTTGAAGTCACAGAAGATGCCATTGTGTGGAAAAGCAAGGAATTTAAAAGACATTAAGAAGAGATGGATTCTGAATGTGCAGAAGTGTTAGAAGTGCCCTAACTCATTTATTTCCCTTATATTTTCTTTTCTTATAAATAAACAAGAGTAATAAATTATAAAACCCACGTCTAACGTCTAAAATGGCTCTTTAAATAGGTAAGGAAAACTGCTTAGTGTCTGGAAAGCATTTGTCTTACTTTAATTGACACAGTGGCTTTCTTGGTGTCAATAAAATAATGGTGTTTCTTACCTTTGATATCATCTTAGATTACTTGAAGTGCAATAGTCATTGTATCAGTCAGCGTTCAGGATTGAAAAGAAATCTCTCTAGGTATTTTAAACAAGAAGGAATCAGGGAAGTAGGTGCTTACAAATCACTGAACGAACTGAAGGAGTGAAAGTCAGAGTCACCTCACTGTCTTTATCATACCTGCTTTTCACATTGACAAAGATAAATGCAGTGCTAAAAGCATCGGGAAGGTGGTCCCTACCTTGTTTCTGCCTTCTAAATCTTTCATGAGTCCATCTTTTTGGTAGAACCTAATTTGTATCCAGAACCTGGGAAATGTAGGTAGGTGTTTATTTGGTTTGCTTTCCAGATTCTCTTCTATGGAAAGGTAAATAGAAGGGAATAGAAATGGATGTTCAGTGCCAATAGATCATATCTAAGAGGGTCACTAAATATAAAAACCAAACAAATAGAAGTGTATAATTTAATTAGTAACTAGTGAAATTACTAGTTACAAATTAAAGCCATAATGAAATACTACCATATACCCACCATATTGGCTCAAATTAAAAATTTCTCTTACAACATCAAGTACTGGCAAGGTTAAGCAATGGGCATACTGATACACTGCTGATCAGAGTGTAACTTAGTATATTTTGAAGATTATTTTGGTGTTATCTGATAAGATTGAATGTAGACATACCTTTGGACTTGGCAGTTCTATATCTTAGTATATAACCCACAAAAATTCACATCTGTATTTACCAGGATAAATGTACCATAATGTTCATGGCAGCAGTGTTCATAATAGCACCAAATTGGAAACTACAAAATGTTCACAGCAGTAGAATGGCTAAATATTTGGTATATTAGACAGTGGAATATTATATAAACACATACACAAAAACAAATGAGCTACAGGTAAACACAATAATACAGGTGAATATTAAGTATATAATATTGGTCCAAATATCATAAAAATTTACATACAGTATTTATTTTATAGAGTCCCCAAACAGATGAAACTAACCTGTATTGTTTAGGAATGGATACTTAGCGGTAAAACATTTTTTTTTTAAAAACAAGGAAGTGATTACCATAATGGTCAGGAATGTGGTTACCTCTAGTGGAGAAGAATGTTGCCAGACCCCAGATGCTCTCCATCTCCCCCTTCCTGATCACAACTGCCTTCTCTTTGTTGTGATCAAGAAGGGAGAGATGGAGAGCATCTGGGGTCTGGCAACATTCTATTTCTCGGTCTGTAGCTGTAATTACAGTAATTAATACAACAATACATTTATTTTTTGTGCACTTCTATGTATGTGCGTTATACTTCACATTTTTTAAAGTTTAAAAAGAAACTAAATGGATGAATTAAATGAAACCCAAGCATAAGTAAAGAAAGAATTATAGAGCCAGAGGAGAGATATGAAGAAATTGCCTAGAAGACAATACAAGAAGATAATGAGCTAGAAAATATTAGAGACTAAAAGACGTGCTGGAAAATGAGAAGATCCAACATACATTACTGGTTTACAAGGAGAGGATAAAGAGAATTGGAGGAGGCAATATTCAAAGAGATTATGGCTGAGAATTTACCAGAATTAATAGAGGGTATGAATCCTCAGATTCAGATTACACAAGTCTTCAGCAGGATCAATTAAACTAAATCCATATCCACACATGTTGCCATGAACTGAAAAATTCCAAGTTCAGTGAGGAAAGCTTAAAAGCAAACAGAACGAAAATCACATTACCTTCAAAGTAACAACAATGATATTCACAGCAAAATTTCCAAAAGTAACAATAGAGAATAGATGACAATAATGTATTCAAAGTTCTGAGTTTAAAAAATTTCAAGATATTTTTATGCAGCTGTACGGTATACCATTCAAGGGTAGGGATGAAATAAATTAATTTCCAGACAAAAACAGGTTTATTTTTTTTAATTTATTTATTTGACAGAGAGCGACACAGCGAGAGAGGGAACACAAGCAAGGGGAGTGGGAGAGGGAGAAGCAGGCCCCCCGCGGAGCAGGGAGCCCAATGTGGGATTCGATCCCAAGACCCTGCGACCATGACCCGAGCCGAAGGCAGACGCCCAATGACTGAGCCACCCAGGCGCCCCAAAAACAGGTTTCTTAGCACAAATATATTTCCCACTAAAGACACTCTTCAGAGAATTTCCTGAAAAAAATGTCAATCCATAAGGAAGAACTAAAAATTAGACTTATGAGAATAGTTACGGTGAATAAAGAAACTTTGGAAAACATGTGGATATACCTAAACAAGCACTGACTATGCAAACAATGAAAGAGATAATTTGGGGGGGCGCCTGGGTGGCTCAGTTAAGCGTCCAACTCTTGATTTTCGGCTCAGGTCATGATCTTAGGGTTGTGAGATCGAGCCTCACATTGGGCTCCATGCTGGGTGTGGAGCCTGCTTAAGATTCACTCTCTCCCTCTGTCTAAAAACAAAACAAAGCAAAACAAAACAAAACAAAACAATGACTAATTTGGGGCTATAAACATAAGGTAATATAATACCAGACGATAGCAATGAATGAAATGAGAGAGGTATGATCAGAGTTAAATTTTTCCAAGGCTCTTACGTTATTTGGGAAGATAGTAGAGATATTGACTAAGCCAATAAGATTATTATTTTTTTTAAGATTTTATTTATTTGACAGAGAGAGAGCACAAGAAGGGGGGAGTGCCAGGCAGAGGGAGAGGGAGAAGCAAGCTCCCTGCTGAGCAAGGAGCCTGATGTGGGACTTCAACCCAGGACCCTGGGATCATGATCTGAGCAGAAGGCAGATGTTTAACCGACTGAGCCACCTAGGTGCCCTGCCAGTAAGATTATTTTTTAAAAATTTGAGTAATCATGAAAAGAATAGAAATAGAATATACAGCTCTTCCGCCGCCATTTTAAATCCAGCGCCATACAACGCTCCGCCGCCGCTGCTGCCGCGACCCGGACTGCGCGCCAGCACCCCCCGGCCGACAACTCCGCCACCATGGAGGACATGAACGAGTACAGCAACATAGAGGAATTCGCAGAGGGATCCAAGATCAACGCGAGCAAGAATCAGCAGGATGACGGTAAAATGTTTATTGGAGGCTTGAGCTGGGATACGAGCAAGAAAGATCTGACTGAATATTTGTCTCGATTTGGGGAAGTTGTAGACTGTACAATAAAAACAGATCCAGTGACTGGAAGATCAAGAGGATTTGGATTTGTGCTTTTCAAAGATGCTGCTAGTGTTGATAAGGTCTTGGAACTGAAAGAACACAAATTGGATGGCAAATTGATAGACCCCAAAAGGGCCAAAGCTTTAAAAGGGAAAGAACCCCCCAAAAAGGTTTTTGTGGGTGGATTGAGCCCAGATACTTCTGAAGAACAAATTAAAGAATATTTTGGAGCCTTTGGAGAGATTGAAAATATTGAACTTCCCATGGATACAAAAACAAATGAAAGAAGAGGATTTTGTTTTATTACATATACAGACGAAGAGCCAGTAAAGAAATTGTTAGAAAGCAGATATCATCAAATTGGTTCTGGGAAGTGTGAAATCAAAGTTGCACAACCCAAAGAGGTATACAGGCAGCAACAGCAACAACAAAAAGGAGGAAGAGGTGCTGCAGCTGGTGGACGAGGTGGTACTAGGGGTCGTGGACGAGGTCAGGGCCAAAACTGGAACCAAGGATTTAATAACTATTATGATCAAGGATATGGAAATTACAATAGTGCCTATGGTGGTGATCAAAACTATAGTGGCTATGGCGGCTATGATTATACTGGGTATAACTATGGGAACTATGGATATGGACAGGGATATGCAGACTACAGTGGGCAACAGAGCACTTACGGCAAGGCGTCTCGAGGGGGTGGCAATCACCAAAACAATTACCAGCCATACTAAAGGAGGATGTTGGAGAAAACAGGAGGAGATTGCTAAAGTTAACCCATCTTGCAGGACGACATTGAAGATTGGTCTTCTGTTGATCTAAGATGATTATTTTGTAAAAGACTTTCTAGTGTACAAGACACAACTGTCCAACTGTATATAGCCGCCAATTAGTTTTCTTTGTTTTTACTTTGTCTTTTGCTATCTGTGTTATGACTCGATGTGGATTTGTGTTTATACAAATTTTATTTGTATGATTCCATGTTAAACCTCAAATAAATGCTTCCTTATGTGAAAAAAAAAAGAAATAGAATATACAACTTTCAAATCAGTAAAGGATAAAAGGAATTTAAAACTTTCAGCAATTTAATAGAAAGCAGGAAGAGAGACACATGGAAGAAATATAAGTACAAAATAAGATAGTACATAAAAAAGAAAGTTATCAGTAAACTCAATAATTGTAAGTGGACTCAAGTCACCAGTTAAAAGACTGGATTGTCAGACTGGATTTAAAAATTTAGTTATGTGCTTGGGGCACCTGGGTGGCTCAGTCGTTAGGCGTCTGCCTTTGGCTCGGGTCATGATACCAGGGTCCTGGGATCGAGCCCCACACTGGGCTCCCTGCTCCGTGGGAAGCCTGCTTCCCCTGCTCCCGCTCCCTCTGCTTGTGTTCCCTCTCTCGTTGTGTCTCTCTCAGTTAAATAATAATAATAAAAAAATTTAGTTATGCGCTATTATATGTCATAATGACGTGGAATGCTTGAGAGTAAAAGAGATACCAAATAAACTGGCAGTGCTATGTTACTAAGAGGCAACATAGACTTTAAGATACACAGAGGGTGCCTAGGTGGCTCAATCAGTTAAGCACCCGACCCTTGATCTCAGGGTAGTAAGTTCAAATTCCGTACTGGACTCCATACTGGGAGTGGAGCCTACTAAAAGGGAAAAAAACATCCTCAGAATAGTGGTTACCAGGGGTTGGAGGGAAAGGATAATGGGGAGTTATTGGTTAATGGGATGATTGAAAGTTTTGGAGATGGATAGTGGTAATGATTGCACAACAGTGTGAACATGCTTAATGACACTGAACTGTTAAATTTGGTTAAAATGGTAAATTTTAGGGGTGCCTGGGCGGCTCAGTCATTAAACATCTGTCTTTGGCTCAGGTCATGATCCCAGGGTCCTGGGATCAAGCCCCACATCAGGCTCCTTGCTCAGCGGGAAGCCTGTTTCTCCCTCTACCTCTGCCCCTGCTTGTGTTCCTTCTCTCGCTATGTCTCTCTCTGCCAAATAAATAAAATCTTTTAAAAAAAGGTAAATTTTATGTTTATGTATATTGTACTACAATAAAAAAACAAACTTTAAGATAAAAAAGTAGTCACTACATAATCATAAAAGTAACAGTTCACTAGGAAGATACAGCAATTGCTTACTTTTTTCTTTAAAGATTTTATTCATTTATTTGACAGAGAGAGCGAGCACAAGCAGGGGGAGCGGCAGGCAGAAGCAGAGGGAGAAGCAGGCTCCTTGCTGAGCAAGGAACCCAATGGGGGACTCGATCCCAGGACCCCGGGATCATGGTCTGAGCCGAAGGCGGACACTTAACCGACTGAGCCACCCAGTGGCTGTCCTGTAATTGCTTACTTTGGTATAATCACTCCAAATGCATAAAACAAAGCTATAAGAAGAAAATGATATATTTTTATAAGTTGGAAATTAAAAAATCATAACCCTCAAACAAATAAGTTGGTAAACAAAAATTAGTAAAGACAGGAGATTTGAATAACACAATTAACAAGGATGCACTGATGGATATATAGAACCCTTTATGCAGCAATTAGGGAATACACATTTGTCTTAAGAAGGTACAGAACATTTTGGATGCCCGGATAGCTCAGTCAGGTAAATGTCCAACTCAGGTCATGATCTCAGGGTCATGAAATTGAGCCCCAAGTTAGTCTCTGTGTTGGCCATGGAGCCTACTTAATATTCTCTCTCTCTCCATCTCCCTCTGCCCCACCCCCTAAACTTTCCTCTCTTAAAAAAAAAAGAGTGTACAGCACATTTCAAAATTGACCATACACTGTCCCACAAAACAAATCTCAACAAATAAAAAGAATCAGTGTTACAGAGACCACATTTCTCTGAACATAAGCAATTAATTTAGATAGCAATAACAAAAAGATAAAATCCCATATGGCTAGTAATTTAAGAACAAATTTCAAAGCATAATAAATAATGGAAATTAGATAATATTTAGAATGAACAACAAAGAAAATAGATAAAATATGTGGGACACAGCAAAAGCAGCATCAGAGAGGGGTTTATAGCCTTAATACATTAGAAAAGAAGAAAGAAAAGCAAAGAGCTGAGTTACAAAAAGAATGTCACAGCAAACTCCCCCCCACCAAAGCAGATGGAAAGAAATAATAATTGCAAAAGTAAAAATTAGAAAACAAAGATAAAATAGGAATAATCAACAAAACTACAAACTGGTATATGCTCAATTACCAAAGGGCACTGACAGGTCTCGATATTCAGGTGGACAAGATGACCCGGATCTGTAAATGTCAGTCAGCCTTTTTATCAAGCCACCCAGGGCTTGCTAAAAGGGCTCATTAATACTGTAGCTATGAGAACAAGTTTGGAAATTATTCAACAAAACAGATTTTCTCTCACCAAGGCAGATCTGGCTATTATATACCTTCTAATCTGCCAACAGCACAGACCAATCATGAGCCATATGGTACTGTACCTGAGGGAACCTGCTAAGGCACGTTGATAATAGTGGATCTCTCCCATCATGGAAGATGCGGTGTTTTGTCCTCACTGGGATCGATACTTTTTCCGGATATAGATTTGCCTTCTCTGCCCACAATGCTTCTGTCAGCACCATTATCCATGAACTTACTAAATGCCTTATTCACTAGCATGATATCCCACACTATATTTTTCCCATCCCAAGTTCACAGCAAAAGAAGTGAAGCAGTGTGTTCATGCTCACGGGATTCAATAGTCTTACCATGTACTCCATCATCCAGAGATGGCTGACTTTATGGACTGATGGAATGGCCTAATGAAGACTCAGTTACAGAGCCACCCGCGAGACAACATCTTCCGAGGTTAAGGTGCTATCTTACAAGACTGATTGGGTGAGCCATATCTGAAGATATTTTCCCCATAGCCACAATACATGGATCTAGGCACCAAGGAGTGTATATAAGGCTGACTTCTCTGTTAAGACATATTGACCTCCTTGAACATTTTTCTTACCTCCCATTCCTTTAACTTTGGATTCTGCTGGCTTAGAGGGATAAATTCCCAGGAGAGGTTTGCAGCTTCCTGGTCATTTTGTGTTCTTCATGCCACTGAACTGAAGCAAAGGGGTTCCTGGACCAGCTGAGGTGAAAGAGAGTTGTTGCCTCACAATAAGAGCAAGGAGGAGTATGCTCAAAACCCAGGGGATTCTCTGAGGTGCCTCACAGTACCTCCATGACTGGGGTGAAGCTCATGGAAGATTAGAGCACCCCAATGCAGGCAGGACAATTACAGGCTAGCTCCTTCAGGAATAAAGATATGGGTCTCTCCACCAGGAACCAGAGCCAGCCAGGTGCTGACTGAGGACAAAAAAAAATGGAATGGATATTTGACTATAAATAGCAACTACAGCCTTTTCTTAGAAGCTTTGCATATAGAAGCGTTGTTGACAGCTATGATGGTGGGAGCAGGCTCTTCCTGGCCTGTTGATCAACCACAGTGGTATGTTCTTCAACTAATGAGTTTAGTGGCACCTTCTGACTGTTCTTTCAGCCCTTCCAACAATTTTGCAAGCATTGAATTCCTTTAATTTGATGTAGTAAATTCCTTTCTGCTCTAGGAATATCTAGAGTTGTTTCTGCTCTTGCACTAAGCCCTGACTAAATCGCAATGATTAAGATGGTGTGGTGTCTGCATAGGCAGAGTCAAATTGACAAATTTAAAAGAATAGAGAATCCAGAAACAGACCTGTGCTATTTAAATTTGATATCTGACATTTCAGACCAGAGGAAAAAAGGCAGGACTGCATACAAAATGCTGCTGGGGAAAATGGACCTCCCGTGGGAGGGGAATTAAATCCTTTTCTCTCACTATACAAAAAAATTTAATTCCAGCTGGACTAAAAGTCTAATGTGGAAAGCAAAAGTGAAACATTTTTTGAGGAAAATACATGAGATTTCAAGGCAAGAAACATTATTATGCTAATGACTTTAAATTAACATATTTAGTTTATCCCTATCCTCTAAACACCACACTCATATGTTGAACTTCCAATTCAAAGTTTCTACTTGGATGTCTAATCTCAAAATTAACACGTTCAAAACGAAGGACAGTAGTCATTTTCCTCCCAAATCTCCTCCTCCTCTTGAAAAGTTCCCCATTTAAAGAACCCGACAACACTGCTGGTGGGAATGCAAGCTGGTGCAGCCACTCTGGAAAACAGTATGGACATTCCTCAAAAAGTTGAAAATAGAGCTACCCTACGACCCAGCAAGTGCACTACTGGGTATTTACCCTAAAGATACAAATGTAGTGATCCAAAGGGGCACATGCACCCCAATGTTTATAGCAGCAATGTCCACAATAGCCAAACTACAGAAAGTGCCTAGATGTCCATCAACAGATGAATGGAGAAAGATGTGGTATATATATACAATGGAATATTATGCAGGCATCAAAAAATGAAATCTTGCCATTTGCAACGATGTGGATGGAACTAGAGGGTATTACGCTGAGCGAAATAAGTCAATCAGAGAAAGACAATTATCATATGATCTCACTGATATGAGGAATTTGAGAAACAAGGCAGAGGATCATAGGGGAAGGGAGGAAAAAATGAAACAAGATGACACCAGAGAGGGAGACAAACCATAAGAGACTCTTAATCTCAGGAAACAAACTGAGGGTTGCTGGAGTAGAGGGGGGTGGAAGGGATGGGGTGGCTGGGTGATGGACATTGGGGAGGGTATGTGCTATAGTGAGTGCTGTGAATTGTGTAAGACTAACGAATCACAGACCTGCACCCCTGAAACAAATAATACATTATATGTTAAAAAAAAGTTCCCCATTTAAGAAAATAGCGCCATCATTCGTCCATTTACTCAGGCAAAAAACTGGAGAGTTATCCTTGGCTTCTCTTTTATGGAATCTTTATCAAATCCATTAGAAAATCTTACTGGGTCTAATTTCTATTTATATGCTGATTCTGTCCACTTCCAGGATTTTCCTCTGCTACTATCCTGATCTAAGTCACCGTCACCTCTAGTT